TGTTCTCATTTTTAAAAAGTCTGTTGAATTAACTGATCCTAATTATACTTCCTGAATTCTCTAAATATTCTCAGGTGGTGATTTATTTTTTTTGCTATGAGGTATTTAACTCTTTCATTTTGAATCAATAAGATTTCAGTTGCTTAACTTTGGCTGAATCATGCATTACCACAACTGTTAATTATATAAGAAATTTAAGATTCGGTTCCAGTAATTGCCAAAAATTGTGTTTATCTGCTCTAACTTACAATCTTACAAACATGCATATCTTTACCAAAGATATGGTTCTCTGGTAGATCATTTTTTTACAAGAAATTAACCCACTAACATAATCTCATTGATCATACAGTGCATTCAAGACAAATGATCAATAACATGTGGCCAATACAGGTAGTCCTCGATGTATAACAGTTTGTTTAGTGACTGCTCAAAATTACAATGGCACTGAAAAATGTGACTTATGTCTATTTTTCACAATTACGACTTTTGCAGCATCCCCACAATCATGTAATCAAAATTCAGATATTTGGCAACTGATTCAAATTTATGCTATGTCCCACGGTCATGTGATCATCTTTTGTGACCTTCTGACAAGCAAAGTCAATGAGGAAGCCAAATTCACTTAACAACCAGGTTACTAACTTATCAACTGCAGTGATTTACTTAATAACTGTGGCAAGAAAGGTCGTAAAATGGGGAAAACTCAACAAATCTCACTTAACAACAGAAATTTTGGGCTCAATCGTGGTCATATGTTGACAACCCATAGTACAAGACTACATGTACTCAGCAAGAACTAGCACCAACATTACATATATAGGCAGATAACACATTAAAAGTCAGTTGTCCAACAGTTCTAATGGGAGAAACTCTGAACCCTATTGTGAGACAGTTGTCAATATCTCATGAGCACTAGGACTGTTGAATTCTGAAAGGTGATTTGGAGCACACGTGGGTATGTACATTGCACCTGCTGTTATCTCTAGAAATCAAGCATGTCTTTTTGTAGGATCATGCAGCTACCATACTTGCTTTTTAAGCTATTGACAGGTACAACTTGGATATTTCTGCACAGTCCAAATCATATTTTCTTCTTCAAATCTGGATCATTGCACAGCCCCAGTGAGCACTGCTCTGCTGTATGAATGTGATTATGTCAGTCAGTCATGGACGGTTAACAGCTTAAACATGCAAGCTTTATTAGATTACAATATCAGGGTTCTAAATCACAGGAACAGCCTGCAGGAACAAAGGAGTCCTTCTGGTGCAGTCTATTTTCATTTAGGACAACAATATGTTAAACAATAGAGGAGCAACCAATTCTCCTTCCTCATTGCATGTAGAAGCTAAAGCATCTGAATGTCTGAAGAAACCCTACTGTGATTTTATGGCCATAGTAGTACAACATTTATATAGGTTCTACACTTTTTTCATAAAATTTACCCAAATTATATTATCTCCTTAGCGTTATACCCACAGGTTCAGAGTCCGCTTACATGAAAATAAATTATATGGGCAAATTATCTATCATAATTGCAACATAGGTACAAATGGTTAAATAATATCATTGGGCAATTTATTTTAAAATAGACTGCATAAAGAATATGAAGAAATATCTCACATCACTTTTAAATTTAATTATTATTTCTATCTTATCAAGATTTATAGAAAAGGATTGATCTAAGTTACACAGGAAAAAGGAAAGAACCAGGCCTCATTTATCTTTTTCACAAATTATTCACCCAGAACATCAGAGATGGACAGCTGAATATATAAATCTAAATTTGATTTCACCTACTCTATTGTAACAATCACTTACTGTAAATACGAGCCAGCAGTGTGCTGCAGCTGCCAAAAAAGCCAACACAGTGCTGGGCTGCATTAACAGAGGGATAGAATCAAAATCACATGAAGTATTAATACCATTTTACATTGCCTTGGTAAGGCCACACGTGGAATACTGCATCCAGTTTTGGTCACCACAATGTAAAAAAAATGTTGAGACTCTAGAAATAGAGTACAGAGAAGAGCAACAAAGATGATTAGGGGACTGGAGACTAAAACATATAAGGAACGGTTGCTGGAATTGGGTATGTCTAGTTTAATGAAGAGAAGGATGAGGGGGGACATGATAGCAGTGTTCCAACATCTCAGGGGTTGCCATAAGGAAGAGGGAATCAAGCTATTCTCCAAAGCACCTGAAGGCAGGACAAGAAGCAATGGATAGAAATTAACCAAAGAGAGAAGCAACCTAGAACTAAGGAGAAATTTCCTGACAGAACAATTATTCAGTGGAACCACCTGCCTCCAGAAGCTGTGAATGCTCCAACACTGGAAGTTTTTAAGAAGAGACTGAACAGCCATTTGTCTGAAACAGTAGGGTTTGCTACCTGAGCAGGGGGTTGAACTAGATGACTCCAAGGTCCCTTCCAACAACAACAACAATATTAATAATAATAATTTGCGATTCATTTTAATCTTTTTTTGATGGAAAAATCATGGTTATCTAGTTTTTTTATTTATTAGACCTGCAATGGCTAGTTTTAGCATATCATTTAAACTGGATTCATGGTTGAAATTATGTTTTAAAAAAGGACCCTGATCATGTTTTAGATACCGCTTATTGGTCTGATCATAACTCTGATGTCATCTGGAATGAAATAAAGGTTGTCCATTATTTCTCAACTGTTTTTTCACCATTAAACAAACCAAAGCAAAAAAAGAAAAGAAAAGACCACCATCAAGGAGGTCTTGTTCACATGCTTTTTTTTAACTCAATGTTTACACAACAGGCTTATTCAACTCAATTTTTTAAACACTGCATGACATACCAAACCGTATTCCATGTTCACATAAAATACGAGGCTAAGATGTGATTAGCTCACCAATAGACCAGTGTGTCATTGGAGTACAGTGAATGATTGGTGACTCTGACCTCAAATCAGGCTGTCATGGCTCTTTTCTTTTCTTTTTTGCAAAATGGAAACCCAGAAGCACCAGCCACTTCCTACAAAGAAGGGCAACTATCAGCCAGGGAGCATAAAAACAACAAACCATTGGAGCATTTTCCCCCCTGCTGTTTGGAACATCATCCATAGATAAATAACTACTGGCAATAATAAGCACAATTTAGAATTTTAAATGTTAGGTTAAATATTATTGTTAACATTAAAGGTTAAGTATGCCTAGACCATAACTTTAGTTTCATACACTATGCTAAACCAATCCAAGATTAATTATTCTTAAAGCCAACATGAACTAATTAATTTTTAATGCAATTTTGCAAAGAAGTTTCAGTTAATTCTTTGGAATTTATTTTAAGGATGGGCAAGATCAGACTGCCAGTTAAACTGACCGACAGTTCTTTTTTTGACTAAAAAGTACAATTACACTGTTACCTGATCTGCATTTTAAGCAGTTTTGTTCCTGTTATGCTTCCCAATCAAATTTATTGCTATTTGATCTAATTATGTAAATACATTTTAATTGAAATTTTCAAAAATGAATGTATTTGCTAATCTTGGTTTAGCATAGCTTCCAAAACAGAAAGAAATATGATGAAGATAGGAATATATTCACTTCTGTTACATATGTGACACTGAATAGAAAGTACTTTACAATAATGAATTATGAGAGAAGGTTAATTCATCTTTATAGACATTGTAGTTATTAAACTATGAAAGATCCTGGAGATTTTCATAAGTGAATAATTCAAAATATTGTCTGAGTAAGAAGTATATAAATACTACCATACCATACCATTAAGGCGATATTTTAAACCCAAATAAATCTCTACGAATACTTAAGATTACACTATGCACTAGTCACAAGTTTTAATCCTATAAATCTTACCTAACTATACACTAACTGAACACAATCAGGCTTACTTCTGATAAAATCTGCACATTGGTAGTGATATTTCAAATATTCTTTATAATCACCAATAGAAAGTTTACAGTGATACACAGGAAATCTATTAATATTACAAACAAGTTATTTTTACTGTTAAAATAAGTTGATTTGGACAGCAGCATGTAAATATCTTACCTAAATAACATGCATGAAAACGCGCACGCGGTTAGGGTGGCATAATTGTTTTGAAAATAATCTGAATTTTTCCTTGTCTGAGAGCAAGAAGATCATACTCTGAAGAATAAAAAGATATGTTTCTTTTATAATTAAGAACAATGATTATTATACTACCCAAGCTTTTATTTGAGACTTGCAAAAGAACTGTCCATTTCAATAGCTCTTGTTCTGTACTAAAGAAACTCCAAAACCAAGGGTAATAAGCACAGGAAAGAGATGAAGACAGAACTAACCAGTTTTACTACTGTTAAGTCTTGACTAAACGAGCAAGGACTTGTATAATTTCCTCTTTATTCCATATAAAATTTCCCTTTCCAACAGCAGTCCATCCTAGGCTCTTAAGAAAACCAATACATTAGCGTACAATTCATTGTTCCAGAAAGTTTTGAATTCTGATGAGTCCATACCGCGCATACTGTATTCCTGTACTCAGTATAATTCTATCCGGAAGAAACAAAACTTTTAACACCCAACAGCGTTGTAGTTAAGAACCGGGGATCCCCGAACGGTAAATGCGAACATCTGTGGTTCAAAAGAAAGCCACAAAAGAAAAACAACTTTCCCGATTTAATGGGCTGATTTTCCGAATATTGGAAGCAAGGTGTGTGTTTCTTACGCGCCCGTGTCTCAGGCAGTGCGCAAGCGCCTTAGAGATTTACTAATTACTCTGACAGCAAAGTAAGAGTTATTCTAGTCTAGTGTGGAATCCGCTCAATACCAACTCCTTTAAAAAAAATCTTGCCAATTGACTCGTTCGGCGCAGGTCCAGAGAGGAGCTCGCTTTTTCGAGCGCCCAACTAAACCCCAGCTTTTTTTCCCACGTGGTGCGCAAGCGGCTGCTGCACCTGCGCCATGTGCTTCTGGAGGCCCGGCGCGCTCAAACGCAGCTTTCCTCCCCCTCCCTCGCTTACCAACGGTAGCAGCCTTCGCTTGCCTCCAGAGTGAAGTTAATCCTTGCGCTCCGAGAGAACGGCAACAACACTTTAGGGATGTTGAGCTTGGAAGGCAGCGCGGCAAAAGGCAGGAGCCAAAGGAGCCAAAGCGACGCTCGGGGCGCAGAGACGGCGGCTGTCATCCTGTTGGGAAGTTGCTACGGAATCCCCTTCACCTGTCTCGAGAAAGACAGAGAGTCCGGCGCCTTTCTCCGGGGAGCGCTTTTCTTTTTCAGCCTGAGTATAAAAAGGCAAGCCGCTTAAGTTGCGGCGCTTTACTCCGCCGGGGGTCCTGGCAGGAATTGCCCGCTTCGACTTGCTATTCGAGGGACGTCACAGCGCGGGCAAACCAAAGCGCGGCCCCCTCGTAGTTAGAGGCGGAGTGGGAAGGACCTTGGCTGCGAAAGCAGCAGCATCAGGTGCCAAACTGACTTCGCTTAACAGCCGCTGGGGACACTGCAGCCGCTCTTCCGGACCTCATGGGAAGGAAGGGGTTTTTTTCTTCTTTATTTTCAGTACCGCTCATGAAGCGGGGACTTGTTTTTTTTTTTTTTTTTTGCTGTTGTTCGTTTGTTTTTTCCCCCCTCCAGAGACCGTGATCTGAAGGAGTGGAAAACAGGGAGTGTAGAAGAAAGCTGTCGAAACAGTTTCCTGGGCCTGCCTTTCAGTGCTGAACTGAATCAATTTTTGTTGAAAGGAAGCACAAAAGTTGGTACAATGTATCAATACTGAAACTGGCTTGGATTGATTTAAAAAAAAAAAAGCTGTTAAGCCTATCTGAATGGGATAATTTGATTTTTCGTAATCACATCGTCCACAGCTATGATTTTATCTCCTAGTAATATTGAACTGTAATCTTAAATTTGTGTAATTCTGGGTTCGTGTGTTGACATTTATAAAATATGGATTATGGTATGATTATGGCCGGACCAAATCCCCTGGACCCCCTTTTGTTGGTGCAGCTTTTCAATGCACTTTAGCTACTCTGTTGAATTTTGACAGCAAAAATTGGTGGCAGATTAAAAGTTCCCCTTCCAGTCCTCCTCAAATAGAAATAAAGGAACAAATATCTTGTTCTTCCTCTTTTGCATTGTTGCATTACTCTTACCTCTCTCAAATGCTAAATGTGATCCTAATAAAATTGTCTATATATTTTATGATTCTTGCCAATTTTGCCTTATTCAGCAAAATGTGATTTAGCAAAATGTATCCACCTGACCATTGCTAAATTCTTTAATAGGCTGAAGTTTTCCTTGTCAGTTAAAGGGACCATAAAGGAACAGAAGTTCTCAATAAATAAACAGTTGTGGTAGAAGATAACTAAGGAATTCAGTGCTTAAATAGAATAAATTTTGTCTTGCAGCATGTTGCCTGATAGTGATCTATTTTCTGATGCATCTGATCAGAGCTCTAGTGAAACGCTTCAGATTAGCGAAAAAAACCCAAAAAACAAAAAAAACCCACCCTATTATATCTTGATCTATAAGAAGAAAAGAAGCACTTGATTCATTGTGACCTATTTGCAAGGCACTTTATTGATAGATACCTCTATATCAGAATAAATTGGGTCTTCTCGTATTGAACAAGTCCAGCCTGTTTTCAATATATCAAGCAGTTTCTAGACAATTTCAAATATACCATTCAGAGCTGAGATGTTGATTGAAGAATAGATTCTCAAAGTCCCAGTCCCTCTGGATCATATGGGCTGTTTCACCTTAGGGATCTAGAGCCCATGAAAACACAGAAATACTGAAATTAATTGGCAAATTTGCTAGGGAAGGAGATTAAAGTTTTTAAAACAGTCTGAAATAGGCATGTAATGAATCTAATGGGCTTAATTTGCTTTTTTTTTTTTTTAGTGGAACCCCTCATGAATTGAAATGGCATCCCTTGTCACTGTCGTGTTCTCTTCAGCCTATAAATGTTTTAAAAGTGTAATCTTTCCTTTCATCCTTCAATATAGCGTCAGCACTAATTTATTGTTTGAGCAATTTGTTCAAACCCCAAATAAAGTTAATTTTCAGGATTGCCAGACAGCATTGGGACTTTACTATATGATTCTGGCCCCATTCTTTCCTAAATTCTAGAAGATAGTACTGGAGAATTTTTGTTTCTCCTACCTACAATGTAGCACTAGAGAGATCTTCTAGATGACTTTTCAAATCCTGTGGGCATGTACACAGACATATACATGAATGTATTATACCACAATCCATATCTTTCCATATTTCAAGGTGCTTCAAACTCTACTATCTCTCCATTAACATTTACATGAAGCTGCTGGGAAAAGTCATCCATCAGGATAGTATATAGTTTCATCAATATACTAGTGATCTCAATGTATACCTTTGCCCCTGACTGACCAAGTAATGTTATTCAGCCTTTGTCCTAGGGCAGGGGTATCAAACTCAATTTCATTCAGGGCCGCATCAGCATTGGGTGGGTGTGGCCAGGGTGGGTGTGGCCTGCTGGGTGGGCATGGATGGAGTGGGTGTGGCCTGCTGGGTGGGTGTGGCCAGCTCTAAATTGTTCATGTCAAGAGTGCCTGTAGGGGCCTGGGCAGGAGTGGGACAGATCTGAGGGTCTCTGGCAAAAGGGGGTAGGACCGGGGCAAGTGCCAAGGCATGGTCCACTGGAGGCGCCTCAATGTTCCTCTCAAGCCATGCCGGGGGGGGGGCTTATGGGCTAAGACTGAATGCGTTTCAGCATAGATGGCCACCACAAAATTGTACATTGGCTCCCGGCTGGCCTGGGCCAGGACTAAGGCAGAGGGGGCCGTTCCCTCACTGTTTCCAGGATGACTTCGCGGGCCACATGAAATCACTTCGCGGGCCGCATCCGGGCCCTGGACCTTGTGTTTGACATGTCTATCCTAGGGTCTGGAGACTCTGTGGTCTGAATGAGGGAATACTGGAAATCTGCACACCCAAAGCTGGAGAATGCTGGAATAAAGTGCTTTCCCCCCCCCTTCAAATGGACAGTTGAAGATTATTTTATTCTACAGACTGATCGTGACTGTAATCCCTTGAGAAAGTCTGGAAGGCAAAAAAAACCCTGTAATAACTTTTCCCTTCTAGAGAAATTTTAATTTGTATCTTGAAGATTTATAAAATATGTACAACTGATGTTTACAAAAAGTTCAGACATCATTAAATCAGCACTGCAAAGTGCCATCAAGATGAAAAAGACAAGCTATTATTATTAAAATTTGATTGCAGGCAAGGGATTCTAGTAGTCATTAGAAAACATGAAGCAAGCAACATAAATATAGGTTTTGCTGTGTAAGGAAGAAAAGATGTAATTGACAAAGCAAATAGAAGTGTGTAAATCAAGGCTTTGAAAATCAAATGAGTTGAACTGCAAAATAACTAACCCAACAGTTATCCAGAGTCAAAGTTATTTTACCTGAAAATGTTAACATCTTGAACTTCTCTTCATATAATATCATGCTCGTAGGGTAGACAAACCCCCTCTGCCTAAACCCATGGTGATACATGAAAGATAACATTGCTAAGAGAAATCTCATTTGCTTCACTACAAGGATACAAAATTTTCTTCTACAACATTGAAAAGGTTCGGTTTCTTTTTTGGTAGGCTGTACTTTTTCATTTTTTAAAAAAATATTGAAAATACAGTAGGTGTTCTTAAACTATATGTTTTGAGGCTTATTTTCCTGGGAAAAGCCATACGTATGTATTTATGTATGTAAAATTTAGCTACACAATTTTTGAATTTCAAAAATTAGATTGAAACTTAAATGTAGTGTATTGCTAAGGATTGCTTATTCCTGTTTTGCTAAGAAAATTTCTTATCATAATCTAGATTCTAGATGTTCTTAACCTTTTTGAATGAATCGCCCCCTTGAGCCAATGAGGAAGTTGTCATCGCCTCCCTCCCCCAACATAACCTCTCAATCACAACATAGGAAATAGTTGTTCAATTTATGCAAACACTTTTTTTGTTTTCTTTAAAATTGTCATCAGGACATATCGATGCAAATAATTTATTTCCAGTCTTTTTCCCATATCTCAACTGTGTGAAAATTTTTGGTGCCACCCGTCACTTTATTCCTAAACTTCGTGATACATGTATTTCATTATTATCTTATTTATTCAAGACACTTAAATGTAATGACCATTGAAAACAAAATTCAATTGCAAGAAAGTGAAATGCCCGAAAAGAAAAACAGTAATATTTAATGATTGAATTACAAGTGAAACTTAAGACGCAAAAAGAAATATAAAAAGGGCATAAAAACAAACTGCAATGCAGGAAAACATGCTGCTTGCTAATTTAGCAGAAGCAGCGCTGGGTTACAGCTGATTCGCGCTTCTGTTAAATTAACAAGCAGCATGTTTTCTGGCAAAGCACAAGCAAGTGAGCTGGGCAGAAGCCCAGGGGAGCAGCTACAGCTGATCTACACTTCTGTGCTCCTCTGCAGAAGTGCAGATCAGCTGTAGCTGCGCGTCCTGATCCTGGGCTCTTGCCCACTCACTTGCTTGCCCGAGCGAGAGGGCAGGGGCGCAAGTCGTTGTGTGCTCAGAAACGCCGATCTTGTGCTCCTGCTCATCTTGCTTGCAGAAACAAAATTAAGAAGACAAGGAAAAGCGTCAAAAGCTGTTGATAGATAGAAAGCAAGCAGAAAGCAAGTGAGCTGGGGAGGAGCGTGGAATCGGCATTTCTGAGCACATGCCGATTCGCGCCCCTAATAGGCGTGTGCTCAGAAACGCCGATTCCGTGCTCCTGCCCAGAAAACTTGCTTGCTTTCCACTTGCTTTCTATCTATCAACAGCTTTTGACGCCTTTCCGTGTCTTCTGAATTTTGTTTCTGCAAGCGAGATGAGCAGGAGCACGAGATTGGTGTTTCTGAGCACACGCCGATTGCGCAGCTCCTCCTGGGCCCCTGCGCCTGCCCTTAACCATCCCGCCATCATGCAGGGTAAGATTGGCACCTCTGCCCCCACCCAGATGCCCTCGCCTTCCCCAAGCATTTTTTTACTCACCTGCTTTCAGCTGCACTCCCTTTCTCTTTTTGTTTCTCTGCCTTCGTTTGCTTCTGTGCCTTCGCCACGTGTTTGTGGGTAAAAAAGAAAAAAAAGTTCCACGAGACTTTCTAACTTCTCGCGAGAAGTTAGAAAGTCTCATGGAACTTTTTTTTTTTGTCTCACAAACACATGGCAAAGGCTGAGAAGGACAGGAGAAAGGGAATGCTGCTGAAAGCAGGTGAGTAAAGAAATGCTTGGGGGAGGTGAGGGCAGCTGGGTGGGGGTGGGGGGGACCCAGGCAATAGGTCACGCAGCTCCAGTGGAATCTCCATTGAAGACTGTGTGAGGTTGCCTGCCACCCCCAAGGCCGCCGCCAATCAGCTGGAGCTATGCGCTTTGATCCTGGGCTCACAGTAGGACCCAGGCAATGTGCAGTTCCAGCTGACTTTGCCACAAGCCGATGAAGGCGCTGCTGCACTTCACCTCATCCACTTTTACACTTTTTTTGGTTTTTTTAATTTTTTTTTAATTTTTTTTCAATACTCTTCAACCGGTCCTTCGTGTACCACCTGTTGAAAACTGCTGCCCCCAAACTTCTTGCTTCATCACTCCATATCACCCCCTTTTTGTTCCATCGCCCCCCTGAAAAATGAAATCGCCCCCTGGGGGGCGATATCGCCCAGATTAAGAACCACTGATTTAACTCATCTCTTTTCTTCCCCAACATGCTGTGGTGGATTGGAACTAATCAGAACAGAATTAGTTCACTATTCAGTGGCTTCCTGACATGAAAAGTCAGATATTGAAATGTCTCCTTAGGTAGGAACTGAAGTATCTCCTCTTTGCTAATATTTCTCTTCTAGTGCTATGTACTGTACAGATGGGTATAATGCATGGAGCAGTTTTCCATTAGAAAAGCAATCAATATAGAAACAGATGGGATATGAGCATGGAAGCATGGGCCAAGCTTCCCCAATATGATTCATTCCTGATGTGCTGGACTTCCAAACACATAGTTTTTAGCCAGAATGGGAAAAAAAAGACTTTCTGATTTGGGCCTGGGAAAAGCTGATAACTCCAAGTCAGACATAAGACACAAACTGTTCAACAGCATAATCTGATCTACACTGTTTATTTGTAGAACCTATATTA